CTTAACATTCAAATTGCTAGATTGGATTGCAGAATTAACATTCAGTGGGCAGGATTGCTCTTGTTGAATATGTGGCTGGCATCATAAGAAATGATTACATGATCCAAAAGGTAAAACTTGACTTCTGCGTAAAGGTGAACAACAATAGTGAGTATTGGCTAATTTGTATAGTGGCAGTTTTTAGGGAGAAGTTGACCTTTTGGCAGTGAGGAGAAACTCAAGAGAATAGAGCATTAGATTCTGGGATCCAGAAGTTAGAAACATATGTGGGAGGGTTAGAAAATGGTGTTCTCTTGAAATGGAGTTATCATCACTCCGGTGATCAACTATGGAATACTGCTCAGTTTCAAAGAAAAATGAAATCACAAACTTTGTGGTAAATGGATGGAACTAAAAAACATATTGAGTGAGGTAATCCAGACCAAGAAAGACCACCTCATTCTCCGTTTTTATCTTGTTTTGAGTCATAGGCAGTTATTGTCTATAATAAATGTACTCTCTTGCTCTCTCTCTCCCTCTTTCTTTATTTCCATGTTTTTATCCCATAAGACTCATTGTAATCTGCCCACTATATATCTGTATGTGCATGTGTATATATTTCAAAGATATATATCTAATTTTATTATATAATCTACAGATATAGTAAAAGTATAAATATATTTAAATATAGTATTTCTTTAGGTATTTATGTGTTTTAAAGTTACTCAGATCAACCTCCTGAATTAATCTCTTGTCAGTACTTCTTCAGATGGATACATTTATAAAACTATTTCAGAAGTTAAATTAGAAAGGCAAGAGGAGATAGGTTTTCAAGAGAGCCATGCAGAGAACAGAATGATATGATCATCTAGCCTGGTGGAAAGAGTCTAAGAAGGGATGGAACAATACTTAATCAATGACTCTGAGGTTCCTTAACAATGAAGAGATTTATACGTAGACATAAAACATTGAAAGAGAACTATCAAATGTTGCTTTCTCTCACTGCATGCAAATGGGAACAAAGAAATACAAGAACAAGGATGGCTAAGAAAACAAATTACCATCTCCCTCGAACATTGCATTGAGATTCAAAGAACCTCAACCCAAGGCATGTACTTCGAGGAGAGACAGTTCAGAAAATTACTTCTTTGCTATTCTAATGTCATGAAATAAAACTTTTTAAGCCCAACTTTCAGGCTGCATTTCTCAAGAGGCGCCCTATAGTTGACAGGCCTATTCATTCTTGAAATTAAACTTGTCTTCAGAATGTCAACTTCCACTCATAATGATGTTACTGGGAATGTTTCACCACATGCTGGTAAGCATTAGTACCCTAAAGTGAGCCTTGCCACACACACACACAGATATGTGACAGGCACTAAGACATCTTTTGTCATTTCTTTTGCTCCCAGAACATTACAAATTCTGCCAGGGTTCCATCTACATGGTTCTGAGGCCTAAGTCACTGGCTTAGCTTCTGTTCAAATAGATGATGGCAAACTCTAAAACAAGGACAATTTGGAAGCTCCAATAGCTCAGACTGGATTGTCATCACCTCCAAATCTGGCTCTACAAATTCTACAAGTTTCTCATTAGAGAAGTGTCCACCGCCAGTTTGGAATTTTAAAGTCTGGGTGTATTAGTCTGCATTCTCTAGAGTAATAGAACTTATAGAATGAATCTCTCTATAAATAAAACAAGGATTGATTAGAACAACCTTCAGGCTGTGGTCCAGCTAATCCAACAATGGTTGCCTATGAACAGAAGGTCCAAGAGCTCAGTAGTTCTTCGGTTCAAGAGGCTGGATATCTTAACTGGTCTTCAAGTATGCCAGAATCTGGAAAACATAGGTTCTAATGCCAGTAAAGGAATGGATTTTCTAGGTAAGAGCAAGCAGACAGGGTGAAGTGAAGCTTCTTTCTTCCATGTCCTTCTATAGGCTGCCAACAGAAGGTATAGCCCAGATTAGAGTTGGGTCTTCTCACCTCAAAAGATCTGTATTAAAGGTACGTCTTCCTACCTCAAAGATCCAGATCAGAAGTGAATTTTCTCACTTCAAAGGATGTAACTAAGCAAAAATTCCTCACAGATATGCCAAGCTGTTGTGGGATTTCAATCCCTTTAGCCAATGGCTTTTGGGGTTATGAGCCCTAGGGCATGGTCTTGTCTGTTTACATGCCTGTTTAAAAGCTGATAGGAGAGTTATTTCATTCTCTTGCTCTTGCACTCTCTCTCAGCATGGTGGAGAGCAAATGATGAAGAGGCAGCACAGTTGGTGCTCTTCACCCCTGGGCAGAAAGACTGGATGAGGCAGCTCAATCAGTAGCTGTGTCTGATTTGTTCTGTATCTGTAAATTTGTCTTTCCATTGCACCCCATAATAAATTGTGGGTTCTCATATCACCCAGTCATTATGGGGTTTATTTAATTCCAAATATAGCCAAGTTGACAACCAACACATGTCTTTAATAGCTCTTTGGAGACTAGTGCATGATTGTTGTGAGTTTGAGGCCAGTCTAGGCTACACAGCAAGCACCAGGCCAACCAAGACCTTGTCTCAAACAAAAGAAGTATTGTCTTTTGGTTTATTATCTAATATTTGAGAGTATAAATTAACTAATGATAATGTAGGATCTGGCCTTTGACATGAAATAACTGTTTTAGTTACTTTTCTATTGCTGTGAAGAGGCATTATGACCAAGTATCTTTCCCAATTGAGGTGAGGTGCTGTGGGAGTTCCTTCCACTCCTTTAGCCAATAGCCACTGAGATACCAGCCCACTGGGGTGTGGTCTCTCTCTCTTTAAAAAGCAGTGGCAGCCCTCTGCTCTCTCTCTTGCTCCAGCAACTAGACTTCTTTCCTGGCTGATGTGTACGATGTTGTTCTGTAAGTTTTTCCCCTCAAACTGGTGTGGGATTGTTTCGCGTATGATCTGGCACCCAGCATTTGGTTTTAGAACCACCTGCACTCCCCCATACTCCCAGCTCGGCTGCCTGCCTCTCGCTTGGCTTGGCACAAGCCCTCCCTTAGTCGTGGAAACTCCATGCCTCTCAGGATCCATGGGCCCGGACAGTCTGAGCAGGTTTTAAGTGCAGCGCTTGGGCAACGGGAGTCAGAGTGCAAGTTGTTGCCACATCCAGCGGAAGCGCTATTTGAAATACCTGCCACAGCATTTGCATTTGCACCATGACCTTTGTCCCAGCAGAACAGCATAGGGACACTGGGCGGACAGTCAGCTGGTCTACCAACGGCTGTGTCACGACCCCCTATATCGGGTCAGAGCAGGACGGACACCCAGGGTGAGCTGTGCTGTTTATCAACCTCGGGATTTTTGGACATCTAACTTCTCAAGTACCTCAGGATTATCCTGACTCCTTTCCATTGATTCCGGTTGCAACTCGGAAGCAGTGCCGTCTGCTGGTTAACAGGTAAAATGGCAGGTTTTGTTTTTAATGGGACTTTAGTCGCGGCTTTTGCTGCCACTTTGGAAGCTATCACAAGAGGCCTAGATGCCTATGGAGGTACCTCAATTTACTTGTTATTAGGTTTCAATTTCCTTCTTCATATTATATCATTATGGAAGTATATGACATTAATTGATAGGATTAATACTATGATAGGCAAAATTGACTCCTTATCTAAGGGTACTAGGAACTTATCTGAAAGGGTCCAGGCTGTTGAATTTGACTTTCAGAAATTATCACAGAGTTTTGATAAGGTAACAGACAGATTATACCTCCAGGATGGCAACTTACACAATATTCGGGGGCAGTTCAAGGAGGAGATGTTATCTTTGAAAGGCAACATTAAGACCTTGGAATCACAGGTACAGAATGGGGGCCAGAAAATTAATACCATAGGAAAATCACTAGAAACCTTTGCAGGTCAAGAGATTCAGGCCTTACGTGAGACAATGATTAAGAAATTTGAAATAATTGAAGAAATTATTGGAGCTGGTGAGCCTGGTGAGAAGATACAAGGGCAGGACACAATGCCATCATCTGCTGTCAGAAACGGTTTACCCAGGGTTTTAGCGACATACCCTGTAATTTATTCTGACAAAATGTCAACTTCTAAAGGCTCAAAGGGAGCCAAAGGAGCTAGATGGACACCAGTAGGAATGAATGACCTAAAGGAAATTAAGCAAGCCATTGTTAGTTATGGCTTGCACTCTACATTTGTTAAGGAAATGATAAGAACTTGGGCTTCTAATGTCTGGGCGATATCCCATGATTTCTTCCAGTTAGCATCAGCGGTGTTAGAAGATGGACCTTCCTTGATGTTTAGAGTTTATTTCAGAGAGGAATCCAAACATATGGAACAGCAAGGAAAAGCAAAAGGTGTGGAGGTTTTGCAGGATCAAATTCTTGGTGTAGGAGTGTACGCTGATCCACAGATCCAAGCTCTTTATGATGAAAAAGTATTGTCCCTATGCCACAAAGCAGCCTTGAATGCCTGTGATAGAATACAAGAACCAAGAAGAAAGATAGATAAATCAGGGAAGGCAGGTTACAATTCAGACAAATTGAGTAAGGTGGAACAAAGCCCTTATAATTCTGTCCAGAAGGCAGAATTATATGCCATTCTTATGGTGCTAAGGGATTTAAAGAACCTCTTAATATAGTTACAGATTCACAATATGCAGAAAGAGTTATCTTACATATTAAAACCGCTGAATTTATAACAGATGATACAGAGATTACTTTATTGTTTATCAAGGTACAAGACATAATCAGGAATAGGCTTTGTCTGATGTACATAACACACATCTGGCCCCATATGGGTCTGCCAGGTCCTCTAGCACAAGGTAATAAAGAAATTAATCAATTATTGATTGGAAGCATGTAGCAGGCCTCAGAATTTCATTTTAAAAAATCACGTGAATAGCAAAGGTTTAAAGAAAGAGTTTATCGAGCTGCAGCTTGGGAGGCTGGGGTTGCGGTGGCGGCGGGCAACATGGCGCAGAGCAACATGGCCTAGCGGGATCGGCCAAGGGGATGTGGGCAGCCGGCCCCGCCCGCCATGGAGATGGAGAAGGAGTTCGAACAAATCCACAAGGCCGGGAACTGGGCAGCCATTTACCAGGATATTTGACATGCAGCCAGTGACTTCCCATGCAGAGTGGCGAAACTTCCTAAGAACAAAAACCGGAACAGGTACCGGGATGTCAGCCCCTTTGATCATAGTTGAATTAAATTGTACCAGGAAGATAATGACTACATCAACGCCAGTTTGATAAAAATGGAGGAAGCCCAGAGGAGCTATAGTCTCACCCAGGGCCCTTTGCCAAACACATGTGGGCACTTCTGGGAGATGGTGTGGGAGCAGAAGAGCAGGGGTGTGGTCATGCTCAACCACATCATGGAGAAAGGCTCGTTAAAATGTGCCCAGTATTGGCCACAGAAAGAAGAAAAAGAAATGGTCTTTGATGACACAGATTTGAAATTGACACTGATATCTTAAGATGTCAAGTCATTTTACACAGTGCGACAGCTGGAGCTGGAAAACCTGGCTACCCAAAAGGCCCTGGAGATCCTGCATTTCCACTATACCACATGGCCTGACTTTGGAGTCCCCAAGTCTACTGCCTCCTTCCTCAATTTCCTTTTCAAAGTCCAAGAGTCAGGCTCCCTCAGCCCGGAGCATGGCCCCATCGTGGTGTACTGCAGCGCTGGCACCGGCAGGTCGGGGACCTTCTGTCTGGCTGATATCTGCCTCTTGCTGATGGACAAGAGGAAAGACCCCTCGTCTGTGGATATTAAAAAAGCGCTTCCGGAGATGCGCAGGTTTCGCATGGGGCTCATCCAGATGGCCGACCTGCTGTGCTTCTCCTACCTGGCTGTGATCGAGGGTGCAAAGTTTATCATGGGCGACTCCTCAGTGCAGGATCAGTGGAAGGAGCTCTCTCATGAGGACTTGGAGCCCCCACCCGAGCATGTCCTCCCAACTCCCCGGCCACTCAAATGCATCCTAGATCCTCACAATGGGAAATGCAAGGAACTCCTCTCCAACCACCAGTGGATGAGCAAGGAGACCTGTGAGAACGAAGACAGCCTGGCCAGAGAGGAAGGTAGAGACCCCTTAAGTGCTATGCATAGCATGAGCAGCATGAGTCAAGACATTGAAGTTAGAAAACGAATGGTGGCTGGAGGTCTTCAGGGCACCCAGGCATCTGTTCCCACCAAGGAAAAGCCGTCCCCAACGGATGAGGAACAAAAGGCACACTGGCTGACTCACTGGAAGCCCTTCCTGGTCAACGTGTGCATGGCCACGGCCCTGGCGACTGGTGCGTACCTCTGCTACCGGGTGTGCTTTCACTGACAGACTGCTGTGACGGACTGCTGCGAGCGCAAGTACGCTGGGCACTGCTGCTGCCCAGCTTAGGATTCGGTCTGCAGAGTCTGACCCGCTGTCGGGAACAGCTTGCAAGCCTGTGATGGAACTGCAAGGGCCAGCCCCAGGAGGGGCATCAGTGCACTGGGCTTGGCAGGAGCCCCATGGTCCCGAGAACAGTCTAATCTCAGGGCCTTAACCTGTTGAGGAGAAGTAGAGAAAATGCCAAATCCTCTCCACTCACTCGCTCTCACCTCACTCCTCCCCTTTCTCTCTCTGTTCATTTGTTTTTGGAGAAAAAAAAAATTACAACACATTGTTGTTTTTAACATTTATAAAGGCAGGTTTTTGTTATTTCTGGGAAAAAAAAACGCTAGGCACTCATGAGATTCTCTTGTGCCCTTTTGCGTGTGATTAGACTCATGATTTACATAATTTCCCAGTCAGGATGTAAAGCTCCTGCTGGCTTGGGCACCCCCTCCACCCCCCCCCCCCCCCCCCCCCCCCCCCCCCCCCGCTGAGCTGGCAGGTGTCCTGGAGTCACCTTGTTGTGAGGAGAGCAGCACAGGCTGCCTCTAAACAGCAAGCCCGGCTCTGCTTTGCTCAGGCGTCCCCGTTGCATTTCCAAATTCATCTGTACCCTCCCTCCTTGTGATAGCCATCTTGCTGATATCCCTGCCCTCAACATCTGTTCAGTGCAGATACTGCCTCACTCCAGCAGGACACCCAGGCTCGCTGGCCTGCCCTGCCAAGCTCCACGGCACCTGACATTCCACTGTCACACCTCATTCCCTGGACACTTAGGCAAGCAGGACCCTTCCACCTCTGGAATCAGCCCCTTCATTCCAAGTTCACGCTCTCTGGAGCAGGCCAGGATTGGAAGCAGGGCAGCTTGTGGGAATCAGCCTGCTGACATCACTGGCCTGGGTCACCTTGCCCAGAGGTGTGTCACTCTTGAGCCTGATACAGACTGATGATGGTGCTCATGACTCTTCCTGTGAGGGGACACAAGACCTCCACATTGGGTGGCATTTTTACAATAAGAAGCGAAGGCAGCTGGAAATCCAAACTGCCTTGTGCCAGTATTTCACATTTTGACTTTCACCCAGAGAAGCCAGCACAGAGCCACTGGTGGGAATGGTGGTGGCCTTGCCCGCAGAGCCTGAGGAGGTGGCACAGCCAGGGTCCAGGCTGGGAGCAGTTGGCCGTGTACTGTATCTGTAGTCGTGGGGTATGTACAGTAGCCTTCTAGGTGAATGTCCTGGAAAACGGGCGCGCTCCACCCCGTTGCCTGTGTTGGAGGCAGCAAGCCGCTGTATGCCTTAAACCAATATTTACTCAGCAGGTCGGTTTTTTTTTCTTTTTCTTTTCTTTTCTTTTCTTTTTTTTTTTTTGGATGGCCATAGAATAAACCATTTTTACAAAAATAAAAACCAACAACAACAAAAAAGTTTTCCGATATAGTACCTTTGCAGGTGTGTGGGGTGGTGCATGCCTCAGTGGGGGTGTCTCAGGGTCTTCTGTGACCTCACAGAACTGTCAGACTGCACCATTTCCAACTTGCCATATCACTAATGGGTCTGCATTTTAGTTGCAACAATAAATGTTTTTAAAGAAAAGAAAAAGAAAGAAAGAGTTAACCATTACATGGCAACAAGCTAAGGAGATTATAAAGAGATGCCCTACTTGCTCTTTATATAGCCAAACACCGCTACCTGCAGGGACTAACCCGAAGGGTACTCAAAGGAATGAAATCTGGCAGATGGATGTGTTACACTTTGCAGAATTTGGAAAATTAAAATATGTACATCACACCATTGACACATACTCAGGCTTTCAGTAGGCAACTGCTTTAAGTTCAGAAAAAGCTGACTCAGTAATCACATATTTATTAGACGTTATGGCCGTCATGGGTATACCTGCACAAATAAAAACAGATAATGGCCCAGCTTATGTCTTTAGGAAAATGAAATGGTTTTCTGCTTATTATAATATTAAGCATGTTACAGGTATACCATACAATCCTACAAGTCAAGCAGTCATAGAAAGATCAAATCAAACTATAAAGGATATGTTAAATAAACAGAAAGGGGTGAAAAATGCCCCCAGAAATAGATTACATAATGCCTTATTAGCCTTGAATTTTCTTAACGCTAATGAGAAAGGAACAACAGCAGCAGAAAGACATTGGATAATGGAAAAGTCTGCTGAACTAAATCAACCAGTTTATTTCAAGGATGTGTTGACCTCTCAATGGAAGCCAGAAGATGGGCTACATTGGGGAAGGGATTTTGCTCTTGTTTCCACAGGAGAAGAAAAATTGTGGATACCATAAAAATTAATAAAGGTTCTATTTGAAAAGGAGAAACCTCTTGGAAAGGAGAAATTACAGCTCATCCACAATGATGATAATCATACAGGTGGTAAGAAAAACAAATAGAATGGGGGCAGGGTTCTGTTCTTATCTCCACAGGAAAACACTCACCTTTGAAAAATTCAAGGGACTCTGGATGTTTGAATACTGACAGATGGAAAAATAACTACCCAGTAGGGACTATCAAGAAAACTGAATAGATTCTGTAAGTATAAAAATCTAAAATATACTAAATTATATTTCTAAATTTATATAGCTGATTTTGGAGTTGAACTCTGACTCAGTCCCTCTCTAATTTGAAGCCTGTTGTTACGAGAAAAACCCAGATTTTCTGTCTCATGTCAAAAGCCATGATATGGAACAGAAGGAATAAAGGAATTTAGGAAACATTTTTGCTTTTCTTCATATCTATCATACTTTTCATTGAATATATCTATCATATCTTTCATTGAATATATGTATGTCTGTATATGTTTATATAATTAATGTTTAACTTTTCCACAATGAACAATGAATTTTCCTGCAGTAATCTTTGAAGTTTCCAGGAAGAAGATGGGGCCCCCCTGTAACAACAACTCTACCTGGTTGATATGATGTCATGATACTGATAGCGCTACTACAAGGCCTGTTTTGGGTACTAGCTGCACAAGACAGTTCCAACTTGGTTAGCTGAAATGGTGCACATCTTTTACAACATTCTGGCCAGACCTCCACAAACTACTCAGAGACTATTCGCAATTTTAAAAGACATTGATCTTGAAATTTAACCATCATTTTACTTTCACAGGATCCCCCAGAAAGAACGTCGCTCCCATGACAGCTGGAAGTAATTCTAGAGAACGATGTCCCCTCCCCCAGTAAAGTTTGTCCTCGGGTTTAGGGACATCATTTAGGGTTGATTATAATTAGTATACGGTTGAGGATTGGGGGAAGAATTTTATGCACTCAGGAATCTTTTTGAAAAAAAAAGAGAAAATTGGATGATGGGATAATAAATTGGTATTTGTGAGTTATTGTTTATAGATAATTACATTGGCAAAGATTCTTGTGTATGGATACAAAGTTAAATTATATTGAATATTGTATGCATACTTGCTTCTACCTCTGTTTGAAACATTTTTATGTATATATATACATATAGTATTGATATATATATTTACCATATTGCAGTGTACATTTCTAACTCTGATTAAGATACTTATATATTGTTTATGTATTGATATATATATTTACCATATTGCAATGTATACTTGTACATTGTTTACATTTGGAGTTCATCGTCCTCATTTATTGCACAGTTGTTTATTCTCTTAGTCTTTAAGTTAGATAGGTATTAAGATCAATAGTCATTTATGTTTGTCATATTTATAGTTAGACTAATCGGGCTTTTTAGATATATAGAGATTATATTCTGTATAAATAATTTTCAACCTCTTCAAAGAGCTGTAGAAAATGGCATTTTATTTAATCTTAGAGTTCTGTGGTAGTGAGACACAATCGCTCCTGGCAACACCAATCTATACCCGAGAGATTGTTGCGCACCAAAGACACTCCACTTGGAGCTTGTCTTCTTGGCAAAACCAGCCTCTGGGCAATGAACTGCCCATACCTTAACTACTGACAAAATACATATTTATCCAGAAATGGATAAGCAGACCTGTCAAATCTTGCCAAGACAGAGTAAGATGGTTTAGAAAAATTTCTTGCCTTTAAAATAATCTGTCAGTCATTCTAGGCCTTACCCAAAGTATTGCTTCAATGCTACAAACATGACTTTGGGTCATTGCCCAGGTAGCCAATTGTCTCTGTGATTTGTTGCATATTTTGGAAGTTGTTTGAATGCATTTCCTAATTACTCAGGTAACATTATTTCCCTTCTCAGATCTTCGATGGGATTGAAGACTAGATAAATGTAGTTACTTTCCTCTCATGACTTGGCCAAGTTATTTACTATACAAGACTTAAGCTAGTTAGAATAGGATGTATGTTCTATTATTATTCTATATTTTATTGTACATAATTTCTTAGTAGGTTTAGAACTCTCTTACTTAAACAAAAGGAGGAGGTGCTATGGGAGCTCCTTCCACTCCTTCAACCAATAGCCACTGAGATACCAGCCTACTGGGGTGTGGTCTCACTCTCTCTTTAAAAAGCAGCAGTAGCCCTCTGCTCGCTCTCTTGCTCCAGCAACTAGACTCCTTTCCTGGCTGACATGTAGGATGGTATTCTGTAAGTTTTTCCCCTCAAATAAATAACCCTTTGAATCCAAACTGGTGTGGGATTGCTTCAGGCATTAGTGAGGTAGCGATGTACTCTAGTCTAGGGAAAAGAAACAACAGATAAGCAAGAAGGAAAACCCTACCCACTGGTCCTCATCTTTTGTTTCTAGGGTATGAATTCTTCTTCAAAGGTCAAATGAAGAGGAAGACAAAGAAGTATCAATGCTGGGATCATTCTATTAATAATGATTTTTATTAATTTCACTTTTTTTTGCTGTCCCAATTTCACTTTTGGTTTGGTACCTTCTTTGTCAAGCACCTTTTCAGGATTCAGTTCACCAGGCCTCTTTCAGTGGGCTTTGGTAGTAACGATAGAACAGCTATTGCCGGGGCCCCATCTCTTTTAAATC